AAGGTATATAATGCCAGGCAAAATTAATAAATAGGAATGCAGAAGTCTTGAAAAATTCCGAAAAGAAAATGAATGAGCATAAAGATGAGAAGGGTCGGGGAAAAATTTTTGGCAAATATTCGATATTTTCCGGAGGGAAAATATAAAATCAAAAAAAAATTATATCATGCGCATTTTATATAACGTGCGCATTAATGCGCATTTTTCCCATCTCTAGGCGATCCTTATCGAGTTAGCGGTAACTACTTATAGCAGGATATTGAAATCATACTCAGTTGCATAATTCAGCTCTGAGCTTAATTGAACAAGTTCAGAACTGTTTCTATCATTGACGTTCCCCTGCTTAGCATCTTTTCGATGAATGAAAATCACTCAATTATGATTGGCTGATTTTGGGTCAAACAAAATTAGCTTAATTCGGGCCAAAAAATCGAAATAACGCGCATGCCCGCTATTTCAAGAATTTACGGTATATTTACTACAGTTTATTTATTTATTTGAGAGATGTTAATGGCTTGTTTGACTATTTATAATTCTTGTAATTGGCTTTTAATGAACTAAATATACAAGCCGGTTTAAACAAATAATAATATAAAAAGCCTCAAATTATTATTTTTTACCCGGCAAACTTCATACGTATGACCATAAAAATATAGGAACAGGTATTTCCACACCATTGTAAATTATAAATTATTGTTATGAAATTACGTATAAGGATTGCGATGTGTGACCAAATATTCCGGCTTAAAAATTGAGTAATGCAATATGCCACTTCATTTTTTGCTGCAACTATAATACACTTTATGTATTATGCTCGTGATCAAGGTGTGGAAATATCAAAATCGGGTGTGGAAATACCTGTTTCCAAAAATATTTCTTGTTATTTTTTCATGTATTACGATGTTATCATGTTTGTTCAAATTAAAACTCTACAAATCACGATCATAAATTGCCGAACACAATACTGGAAAATTCAGCAATTGTACGTAATTTGGCAAATGATCGGCTGATACGTACGTGTCCATTTACCAAATTACCGTTATTAAACAATTTTAGTATTGTATGCTTAGCAAGATAATCGTTACGCTAATACGGTGGGCCTTGAAAATTGGATAAAAACTAGGAAAATGCGTACATTGTTAGAAGCATATCTCATGACGATTACGTCATTACACAAACGCGTGAATTTGCATATTTTTTTACACTAAATTAACAAATTTGAACACACGTGTGGACTGATAAAAAATTTACAAATTACGTTTCTGATATGATCTTCATAATGTTTATGATGTTATGGTTATGCATTAAAAAACCAACTTTTGGGTAAAATGCATCAAAAACGTAATTTTTGCATCACTTAATACATAGAAATTGAAGTTCCTTCGCTACGCTCCGGATCAATAATTTATAATTTTTTGGTGGGAGAAAAATTGCATTTATTTAATATGCTAACCGAATGTGGAAATTTTTTGAATGATTATATTAGCACTGTAAGCATATTATAAAACATGAGATCACAGAAATTAATGTTCATAAAAAAAAAACTTTTTTATTAGTATAATTACGAAACTATAGAGATACAAATTATATCTTTCGATCAAATATTGTAAGTAATTCTTTAATTTACAAGCGATATAAATTAAAGCACTATGAAGTCTGGATCCAATTTTACTTTTTTACAGTATACGATAATATTGACCTAAACCAGTTGATAGTATTAGCTAATGTTAACCTCAATTTACCTTTTAAGGACCAAGGCCATTTGTGCGTAGTAATACAAGGCCATGCTAAGGCATGTAAATTTTCAATAAAGGTTACAGTGGTAATTTTGTATACTCGAAAGAGGACATATGTATTATGAATGTATCATTTTTAATGGCAATGGCCTAATTACATGGTGAAGTGAGAGACGTCCATTATAAGTTATGCAGTACATTATATTTAATGGGGAGACTGTTAGGGTTGGCAAATTACCGTAATTTTACGTAATTTTACGTAATTTTACGTAAATCGGTGAAAGTTTCAGAAATCAAAATTACATGTAATTTTGATCATGCGAATAATTTTGGCCAAAACTTTTATAAATCTGGCATCAAAGTAAGTATAAAATTACAGTTCCGAACATAATGACGGATAACTATTAATGCCGGCAAAACTTATTTAACGCTGGCGCAATTTTCACGTGACAATGCACTATTTAATGTAAAGTTACATTACAATTTCGTAAGTTACAATGTAATTTCATGTAACGTAAAATGTAATTTATGTAATGCCAACCCTAGAGACTGTTGGTGACGCATTAATCAATCAAAATTATTTGCGGTATTTAAAAAAAATTTAATAAATTCAAGTATGATTGAACTGCAATAATAATAAAATTATAAATTTTCATAAAGAAAGCAAAAACACAATTGTTCAAAATATCTAATTGTTGTTTTTATCTGATCTGATTCGTGTCCTTTTTATTTTCAAAAAAATATATGTAATATATTGAACTACGTTTTTTTATTCATAATGTCTTTACAATTTAAAATAGCATTAGCTCATCAAAGCTCATAATTAAACATGTAATAATAAAAAATTATTTCATACACGCATGCAATGACTATATAATATTGGCCTTAAGAGTTTGAATAATTTTTCAAATAATATAACTAATAAAATAAATAAATACTGTACATTTTATAAAAAAAAAAAATCTTTAAACCGAAATATTTTTCATATAGCTTGCCTAAGCTATATTTTAAATGAAAAAGAATTCCTAACATAATCATCAAAAGGGGATCACTTTTAAAGTTAAATAAATTTTGTTAACCATACATATTCTAGAAATTACTTAGTAAGGTTACTATATTTACATATAAAGTATCACGAATTTCTGCATTACCATATCAAAAATTTACAAATTAAAAAATAATATAGAGCCTACAGAGTACATATGGAATGATTGGTGAAATACAAGGTGAAAAGTTTCACTCAAAAGGAGACGTGTGTACATACGTAAGTGGTATCAAATACTATCTGTTATAAATTGCTCTGAATTTGATTGGCAGATCATTGTGGCTGCTAATTTGGCACACGGTAAAAGTGGCAACTGCTCCGGAATCACAAAAATATTGGTCTCACAAATATCAACACACATTAATACATTAATACTATCAAAACACTACTCTAGAGAATAAACCTTAGTAATGGCAGTCTACGATCGAGGTGTGGTGAGATTTGGTCCGAGTAACTACGCTCTAGATTACGGCACGAGTCTTTAATTCTGTTCACGGGATTAGACTACTAATTCACTAAACGGATTTACTTATCGGGTGGATTGGAGCGAATACTTATACGAGTGAATGTTTGAACTCTACTGAGTTCTTCCCCAAAAAACTACCACTCAACTGCTTTATTATAGATACAGAAAGAATCGTATTTATAGTTTCTATTCTACTAGTAAATACATAATAGCTATGTTCGTTATGCTATGTTCGCGTTGATCACTATGTACGAAATCAACATAATGTTCATGTACAAAATGTACATAGTGCGCCAAATCCTCTAAACCCAATATGCATTTGGTCACTATATGAAAAAATTCATCCCAAGCACAGTTTACCCCTGTACAACACACAAGAAATGTGCGCCCTTCCCAATCTCTCATTGCACCCTTTCCCAATTTCTTAGAATGTCCTTTCCCGATCTCTTACCTTGCAGTTTGCGCATTAAGGCTATGCAGTTACAGTATTACAGTATTATATAATTACTACAATTACAATATTACGGTCTACGATTTTTGCTGCAATTTAATATGGCAAATTCTAAAACCTATTAATTTGAAAAATTAATTCAACGTCACCTTTATGAGTAGATGAGTCTTATTAACCTTTTATATGTACTAAATTTGTCATATTTCTGTCCAAATGTATTAAGGTACGCCAGGATTTACATTTTTGATATTCAAAGCCTTTTTGGCATGTTTCGTCCAATGTCCTGTTCAAATTTCCAAGGTTGCCAAGGAATAGGAATTAAAATAGCACATCATAATTTTAAAATTTATTTATTTATATTTACAGATACGCTACGGCGCATTTGCAGAATTAAGGAATTAAGCAGATATAGTAGGAAGATAATAATAATAAAATTTAGTGACCGAATATGGATTTGGGGACAAAAATAAAGTCAAATTAAATTGACTTACTATCGGTAGTCAACTATTTCAAATTTTGGGGTAGTTTACAAATGCGCCGTAATGGTACTATAAAAACACCTACGGTATTTTATTATTTAATGTTTGAGATATAGTCCTATGCATTTTAGTAGTGTTGTAATGTTGGTTTGTTTATTTTTATTTATTTTCAGAATGTCCAAAAATATTTAAATTCAAGTCATGACAACTATGACTTGACATTGGTGTTATCCTTACGTATGTACTGTACTGTACATACATACCTGCTTTAAAGTGAGAATATGAATTTCAAAATTTAACAATATTTTAAAATTAAAATCAATTAGCCTTTTGTAAAGTTTGATTGCAAGCTAAACAGGTCAACTCTATAGAAAATTCCAAATTTAATTCAAAAAAATCAAGATGACTACTGTCGCTACGACTGAAATTATTAATAATAATGGGAAAATTGGTGAAGGATCGAGTGATAAGAAAGAAAAAGTTGATAATGAAACGAGTATTGATGTTGAGAAGAGAAAAGCTCTGGTGGCTTTAATGGCGTTGAAAAATAATTATGCTCGAATCCTTGAACTTCAGAATAGAGTCTGGAAGTTAGTCTTATATTTAATCAGCATAAGTCTTTTATGCATAATTATTGGAGGTGTTCTTTTATTTTTAAAGGAAAATATTGTGGATTTAGATTCTGTTTTAAGCCTTTCTGTATCTGCTGGTAGTTTTATCATTTCCGGAGGTGGTGTTATTGCGGCTTTTCGATCACTTCTTACCTCCACCCCCAGTTCAAATTCTGGTATTGAGAAAGATGAAAATAGTGATATCGATCTTGCAGAATCATCTATTCTATATGTGCAATCTAACTTAAAAGATGATGTGCGTGATATGATTACAAAACTAAAAGATAAGGTAAGGATCTAAGAAGTTTGGAAATGTTTGAATGTTTTTGGTTGTTTGGTGGTTGTGTTATTCTTTTTGGAATTGCTGGATATGATTTTTTGAATTTTGCTACTGGAAATTCTAATGGAATTATTTTAGATATTGCCCTTATTAATATTGGTTTTATTGGCCTTGTACTTAGTCTAGCTGTTGGCATCGTGCTCCAATATGCAAAACAACGCTTTAGTGATAAAAATAATAAAAAAAAATGTATTTTTTATTTAGTTTTCCCTTTTATTTGTTGCTTTTGTCTTATAAGCATAAATGATAAAAAAGAATTGGAGCTAAAGGATATTCGTTTTCAACGTGCTGAAGAAGAAAAGGTTTTATCTCTTCTTTATGGTGTCAAGCCTCATGATGATAAATAGTGCACTAGTTTGTAGTTTGCTTTATTACACAAAATTTGGAGATTTTTTAAGTTCGATTAATAGTATCCGTTTATATTTGTTGGATCATTTTTTAAATATATAGATACTATTATTTACTTAATAAATAACTAAGTATAATCCAATTGATGGTTAATCAAAAATTTTATTATATAAATAAACAATGTTACATTACATATACTCTTCACTATTAGGAAGAGCTAAAGATCCTGCAAAAAATGTCTATTAATATTTAACAATTTTAATAGGTTCAATAGTATGCACTGCAAAAAAACTACCAGAACTTAAGATCTAATACGTATGTAAAATTAATGTTTATTAGCTATTAATAATTTTTTGATATGTATGTTGTACCTCAGAATAATGCTTACCTCATAGGGTTATGGTATGATTAGAGTTTAATTTAGGCCAATTAGAGTTGATCAGTTAATACTGGCCAAAAAAATCGTCATCTGAGGCAAGCGTTAATAGGGATGTGTTACATAAATTACAACTTTACATTACATGTAATTTTACGTAAGTTTCTGAAACCCAAATTTCATGTAATTTTACATAAAGTACCGGATTTATAAAAAGTTTGGCCAACATTATTGCATCATTTGATTTGAATGTACAATCCGAATTGTTACTCATAAATCGCCGAAATTTGATCTCAGAAACTAAATGTCGTGTGTTCAAAATTACGATTACATGAAAAATTGATTTACAGAATCTTACACAAAATTACGTAAAATTACGCAAAATTTCTGTAATTTTACAACCCTAAGCGTTAATCTGAGGCACAACATATACCTAATAGGGAACTGGAAACCTCAACAAGTTAACTCCTATTAGAGTAACGTTAATTGTAGTTTTATCAGGGTTTGTGCTATAGATGCAGAAATTAAATGCAATTCTGTACAAAACTTCAAACGCATATTTTTTACAAATTCAGTAAAAATCTGGAAAAATACAGATTTTTGCACTTACTTATTTTTTTCAATATTTTCAACGTATTGAAAGTCATCAAATGTGTTTGTATTTGGATCAGTATCATGAATCACTACAGTGTACATATAAACATTTCTGCCAATTAGAAAATTTAATATGCTTAATATGTAGAATAACCATTGTTAAATTCAAAGCAAATTGTAATTTATATATCATCTTTTGGTATTTGATAACAATTTGAGAACGTATAAAGTTATTAAGTGGTTTATCTTCTAATCTAACAACAATAATGAATGGTATATATAATATTATAACAAATTTATTAAAATGATTATGAAGTAATAAATTATTAACAATAGAATAATGGAGTTTCACTGATTATTGGTTGCCGATTCTCTTATAAAGCTATCTAATTTAACCATATTGCTAACATCTATGCAGAAACTTAAATTTCTTAAGGCGCAGTTACGATTAAATTTAATTGTAATTATGTAATTACTATCTGTTATATCATTACTATGCAGTTCTGTAAAGATTTTGTGTTAACAAGTATCCATCTTTAACTTCATCTGATATTTTTCTTCAAGTAATTCTTTCTAAGATTCATCAAAAATAAGGCCACACAAAATTAATTTTTCTTTTTACATTACCGGGTGTTCCAGTCAGCACGTCGAGATTTTTTCAATCTACTGTGAATTAATAAATTCATGGAATAAGAAAATTTGGAATTTGTTTTATCTGATCTCTCGAATAATTCTGGAAAGTTAAGGTCATCATTGAGTGGCACTGGATAAATTTATAAAAAAAAAATAATTAGAACTTCAGAAAAAAAATTTTTTTGGAACATTGAAAATTAACTTTGGTGGCCTAGTATTGTAGACCATAAAAGTATTTTATAAATTTATTAAAGAACATTCGAAATAACTTTTGAAGTTGTGTGTAAATTAGCAAATATAATATTAATGATGCTTCTACATCAACTATTTTATCTTTCTCTGACAGGTTAATAAAATCTTTCCTATTAAATATAAATAAATATATATATATAATGTAATGCAAATTAAGCAAATATATTTTAAATCATAGCAAATACCAAAGGTTCACATACTACCAAATCTCTTTTTTTATGCTCACGCTGTTTGATAATTTTTATGGCTTAAATAGTCTAATAGCATTTGTTCTGTAAGATAATGAGATTCCAAGAAATTTTTTATAGAATTTTATTGTTGCGTCACCTTTAAAAAAGAATCAATACTGAAAATTTTTCTATCACTTGTTTTATATTTGGAGCAATTTAAAATTTTAATTTGACTTACAATTTTTTAAATTTAAAATTCATGATTACAAATTAGTCTAAATTGGGTTAGTCTGTTTTATTATAAAGACTATTGATTTAAATCAAACTAACTATAAATATTTTAGTTAAAAAAAATTTGATTTTTGCTAAATCATAATTATTCAAATTTAATTCATATATTTTATTTAATGATCTAATTAAATTTAGTCTCATCAATTAACTTACAAACCGTAATGAAATTCTGGTACAATTTTTGTAAGCTATTTTTTTTCAATGTTTTTCGTTCTTTAATGCTAAGTTATTATCATAAGTATTCAAATTAATTAAAGTAGCGTTTACATAAAGAGCTTTTACTAACATTTTTACACTCTTATGACCAAGTCGATTTTATAAAGATTTAAAGAGGTTAAAGCAGTGTTTTTACAAAGACACCTGCTAATATTTGTCCCTCATTAAACGTAAGTCTATTGCAAAAAGGTTTAAGTTAGTTAAAGTGTTAATGTGAAGAGTATTTGCTTATACTTTGATTCCTTTGAAACAAAGACTGTTAGAAAGATTTATGTAAGTTAAATCGATAATATTGCAAAGGTATACAGTAACACCTATACACCAAAAAAAATACATACTAAGATCTAACGAAGTCAAGGCGTTATTTTTATAAAGAGCTTCTTATAATGCTTTTGCATCATTTAAAGTTATATGATTTTTGTTGAGATTTAAAGAAGTCAAATTAATGTTTTTGCAAGGAGCTTTCGCTAACATTTCTGCTCCTTTAGAACTGATCCGATTGTTACAAAGGTTTAAATATTTTAGATTAGTGTTTTTATAAAGAGCTTCTGCCGAAGATTTATCATCTACAAAGTAAATACTATTTGAAATAAGGCCTAAAAAATTCAAAGTGTGGTATTTCTATTAAGGAAATCTGTGATCACTTTTCATCTAAAAAGCTAAATATATGTCACGGCTGAAGTTGGAAATTTTAAATGTTATAATATATAATAAAATAGTATAAGTGGACTTTAGTAGGGTTTATATTTAATTTGAGATCCCTAATTTCCCAGCTTCAGCCGCGACAATATATTATGCCCAATGTTTAGATGATTTAAACCAGTTTTCATGTAAAGGGCATCTATTATTGCTTTTATTCCTTCATAAACTAAGTGATTATTTAAAAGACTTAAGGAGGTTATAGTAGTGCTTCTGAGAAGAACTTCTGCCAATAATTTACATTCATTATCGTTAATTCTGTTACTATCAAGACTCTAGAACTTTAGAAAAAAATTTTATAAATGAATTTGCAAGTGCTTTCACACCTTCCAAGCCCAATAATTGTAACTAAGGTCAAAGAGGTCAGAGTGGCATTTTTTTATTTGCAAATTCTTTTACACCTTCATCTTCAAGATTATTACCATAAATTTTCAGTGAAAATAATATTGAATTGTTACAAGTAAGTTTGCCAGTTTACAATAATATAATGAGTTTAAGCATTTATATAAAGAACATTTGATAATGCATTTATATCTTCAAAACAAATTCAAATTTTAGAAAAACCTGAGGAGAATTTTTGTAAAGAGTTTCTATTAATATTATAATACGTAGTATATTATATTTATATCTGTAAAATTATTTTATACTTGCAAAAATATTATTCAAAAATTTTTGATACAGTATTATTAAAAATACAAATTTAAAATATGAGAGATACTTTGTAAGTTTTTATGCATTTAATAATTTTAATTTCTAAATCATAATATACTAAAACTGTTTATAATGTAGAGATTGAAACCCACTAAGGGTACCAGAACTGAAATTGTACGTATAATTAATATGGAAAAATACACTACCAACAATGGGTTCCTCTCATCTGTGCCTGTAGCCAATAGTAGCTTTTCAAACTCGTTGTATAAACTGGATCCGGATCTGGTTTACGTAACGAGTTTGAAAGGCTACAGGCACGCGTGAGAGACAAGCGGAGCCCATTGTTTGTAGTGTATTTTCCATATTACGTAATTATACGTACAATTTCAGTTCTGGTACCTTAGTGAAATGCTACATTAATATTAATGCCATGCCCATTAAAAATACTGGTTCCATTCGGATTCTTTTTTGCGGAACACTAATATTGATATTTGCTTATATAACAGTTGAGCTTGTTGAGTTTGTGCGGCTTAGTACTGACCTCATGGACAGAAATTCGTTTGATTGGATGATGTAAATCAATTGCCCGAGTAGCTTATTTATAAAGTACTTTTTAAGGACGTAAAATTACACAAGCAAAAAATAGTCGCAAATATCATTTCTAGCTACAAAAGAGTGCTACTGTAGAAAGATAATTTTAAAATTAATCTTTTATAATCTCATATTTAGAGAAGTTAGCTTAGACGCAACTTTCTGAACTAGGTAAAGAAAAAAAAGCTTTGTTTGAATTTTAACACGCATAAAAAAAATAGTTACTAACAAAATAGCTAGTTTTTTTTTTTTATTAATCGGAATTTCAGATTTGAGTTTTGAAGCTGAATAAGCTTGTTAGCGGTGTTATCAATAAGAAATTTAGGGTTAAAGTACTCCTAAATTGGGGTTGTTTTTAAGTTTGGGTTTATAGATCGTAGATATGAGTTTGGGTTCTTAGATAATTCGGATCCGCCTTACTTCACTGACAATCATTTCACCGAAAGCTCGCTTAGCCGACATCACACCAAGTGACAATTTTCTAAAATATATACCTGCAACTAATAAAACGTTAATCCTAACCCTATGTGATGTCGGCTAAGTGAACTTTCGGTGAAATGATTGTCGGTGAAGTGAGCAGCACCTGTAGTGGTTTGTAGTTAGATTTAGTAAGTTCTGGTTGTTTAGTAGTTGAACACCGCGTTTACTCCTCTTTATATATATTCACATATCTTTTATATGTATATAATCAGTGTTATTGCCGATTTGTATAAACCTTTTTCTTGAATTTTTTGTTTTTAGTACTGTAATATTGTAAAATAACGAGTTAGTTAATAGTCACGTGTAGATTTGCAAATCGATCCAAAAACTAGCCAATCAGACAAGCTTCTGCATAATCATCAGTATGAGCACGTGATATTGATATTATGAGAATGGCCGGATTCTTTTGGGAGAGAGGGTTGGGTCGCGAATTGTCCTGATTGCGTTTCCCATGGTTCTCATTGCCGCCTTTATTAAGTTATTGATTACTGTTTATGGAAAGTCATTCAAATCATACTCACCTCCTTTAATTATCTGGACTGGACTTTTTCTGGTTGATGGTTCCACGATCCGCATCACATGCTCAGCAACTTTTCGATCCGTTGACTTTATGTAAAAATTTGATTGCAAGCTAAACATGTCAACTCTATAGAAAGTTCTCAAAAAAATCAAGATGACTACTGTCGCTACGACTGAAATTACTAATGATAATGGGAAAATTGGTGAAGGATCGAGTGATATGAAAGAAAAAGTTGATAATGAAACGAGTTTTGATATTGAAAAGAGAGAAGCTCAGGTGGCTTTAATGACGTTGAGAAGTAATTATGCTCGAACCCTTAAACTTAAGGAAAGAGTCTGGAAATTAGTCTTATTTTTAATCAGCTTAAGTCTTTTATGCATGATTATTGGAAGTGTTCTTATATTTTTAAAGGAACATATTGTGAATTTAAATTCAGTTGTAAGCCTTTCTGTATCTGCTGGTGGTTTTCTTATTTCCGGAGGTGGTGTTATTGCAGCTTTTCGATCACTTCTTACCTCCAATTCCAATTCACATTCTGGTATTGAGAAAGGTGATAAAATTCCCGATATCGATCTTGCAGAATCATCTATTCTAATTGTGCAATCTAAATTAATTGATAAAGTGTATAATATGATTAAAGAACTAAAAGAAAAGAGTCAAGGTTTAATAAGTTTGGAAATGGTTGAATGTTTTTGGCTGTTTGCTGGTTGTGTTTTTCTTTTTGGAATTGCAGGATATGAATTTTTGAATTTTGCTACTAGAAATTCTAATGGAATTGTTTTGGATATTGCCCTTATTATTATTGGTCTTGTTGGCCTTGCATTTTGTCTATCTGTTGGTCTCGTGCTCCAATTTGCAAAACAACGATTTAGTAAAAAACATCAAAAATCATTGCTTTTTTATTTTATTTGCCCTTTTGTTTGGTTCTTTTCTCTTATAAGCATAAGTGAGGAATATGAATTGGATTTAAAGGACATTCGTTTTCCACGCACAGAAGAAGAAAAGGTTTTATATCTTCTTTATGGTATAATGTATAATGACAATGCCATCAATCCTTACCATGATAATTAGTGCACTAGTTTGTAGTTAGCTTTATTGTATAAATCTGAAAATTTTCAAGTTCGGATTAAGAGTATTTGTTTAATTTGTTAGATCATTTTAAATAGATACTATTATTTACTTAATAAATAATTAATTGACAGTTAATCAAAATCTGTCCAAAAATTTATTATATAAATCAAGCAATGTTACATTTTATATAATTTTTAAAAATTAATCCTTCACTATTAGGAAGAGCTAAAGATCTTGCAAAAAATATGTCTATCAATATTTTACTTAGGGTCACAATTTTAATAAGTTCAATAGTATGCAATGCAAAAAAACCTATCATGACTTAAGATCCAATATGTATGTAAAATTAATAATTTTTGATATATAAGTCGTGCCTCATGTCGATCGGCCTCAGTTAGGATAGGATTAGGGTAAGAGTTGTGTCGATCAGTTAATACTGGCCCGTCATCTGAGACAAGCGTTAATCTGAGACACAACATATACATACTAGGAAACCTCGACAAGCTAACCCCATTAGATTAGCGTTAGCTGTAACTTTATCAGGGTTTTGTGAAATTTTGACTCAAATTTAGTATAAATGCAGAAATTAAATGCAATTCTGTACAAAACTTCAAACTCTAAAATTTTGCAGATTTACACTTAATTAATTTTCCTCCAAATGCGATTTATTTTTTCAATTTTTCAACGTATTGAAAGGTATCAAAGGTATTTGTATTTGGATCAGTGCCATGAATCTCAATTAGAGATAGGAAAAATGCGCATTTTATAATAACATGCGCATGAATGCGCATTAATGGCATGTTATATAAAATGCGCATGATATCACATAATATAACTTTTTTTTTTGATTTTATATTTCCCTCCATAAAATATCGGATATTTGCCAAAAAATTTTCCCTGACCCTTCTCATCTTTATGTTCATTCATTTTCTTTTCGGAATTTTTCAAAACTTCTGCATTCCTATTTCTTAATTTTGCCTGGCATTATACACCTTGACCTAAATTAAATATTCTTCAAATTTCCTATATAAAATTTATATGGGATAAAATGCGCATGAATGCGCATTAATGTGCACGATTTAGGAATCATGCGCATGCTTGAAACCCATCTCTAGCCAAGAAGCATAATTTGACAACAATATAAGTTCAAATAGGCCTTGCTAAGATATGCTTTATCTGTCGAACTAAATGCCTTAGAATTAGAATGCCTGCCTCATTGTCAAAAATTTTGTCACACTAATATTAACTTTAAAATTTTTTCGATTTTCTATATGATATATTGACCCGGGTTGATAATTATTAACCCGGGTCAGAGCTCTAGGTGCAGCAGTAAAACACTTGAATAAATTTAAAACCACTTCGATTATTCACTGTATTTTGTTAAATAACGCTCACTTGCGTGTTATTGTGCATTACTTAGAGTACACGTATGGGCATTATTTTGAGACACAGATAAAAATTCTTATAAGCCGCCTGCTATATCTATTTATTAATTGCAACCCCTATATAGAAAGCGCGTTGTTTCGAGACCGAGTAGGCGTTATTTAAACCATATGTTCCATTTTTAGGGCACAATTTTCTAAACAATGCCTTTATTTGCAAAAATACAGTAAACAGAAAATGTTTGATGCTAAAAATTTAAACATATAAAAATCATACCAAGATCCATTACTAGAGATGGGCACACGCGGGATCCCGCGCGGGATTTTTAATATGATCCCAGATAATGTTATCTGGCCGGCATTACCATATCATCTGGCTGGCATTAATACAATAACTTGACTGCATTAACGTATTTACCGTAAATTCTCAGAATATAGGGCATGGGCGTTATGAATTTTGGCTTGAAAAAGAAAAAGCTTTGGTTGTATTTTAAAATTACAAGCCTGTAAACGTAGGTCCTAGCAAAATTTTATTCTTTTGAGAACGAACAAAAATTTTATGAAAATTACTTATTTTCGGTAATATTTTAGATTATTTGATTTTTTTTTTTTTTTTTTCTAGCAGAAAGAATCCTGGAAGTGCATAAATAAAATACAGTACTTTCGCTTAAAGCAATATTTTTAACTTTTTTTTATTGAAGAAAACCGATTTTATAGCGTGATTAAGTTTGTCCAATTAAAGACAGGTTTCGTGCATCCAATCATAAATGTGGGGAATCATGGATAACTCACCTGTACAGACGTACGTTGTAAAGGTGAGGAATAATCCGGAATCACAAAATGTGTGCAATACGGATATCAACTACCACTAAAACTAATCAAACCAACACACTAAACTACTGAACTCTATCAACCCTAATGGTGGAAGGCACGGCGTGGAAGACTTGGTCCGAGTTATTAGGATCAAATAGAGCTCTGGATTACGTCACGAGGCTCTACTTCGGGATCACGGGTTTTTACTACTAACTCTATGCGAATTTGACTTATGGGGGGGGGGGGGGTAATTGGAGCGAAACTTTAAAGTCAAAATAATAGATTCTCTATGAGTCGAACTCTAATGAGTTCTATTAACTCTAACTCAACTCACTTACTAACTGACTATAGATGCCAAAGGCATCATATTTATAGTTTCTATGCTACTAATAGATACATAATGGCTATGTTCGCTATGCTATACCGTATTTGCGCGTAATAGCGGGCCGGGGCGTTAATTCGGATTTTGATTTTTTAACAAATTGAGCTTTTTTGCTCAAAATAGCGCCCATGCGCGTCCCGAAATAACGCGCACCCACCTTATATAACATAGTGCTCAAAGAGGGTTCATATCATTTCACCAACAATCACTTCAAATACTACATTTACCGAATTTACTTCACCAACAACCCTATAAAAAATTTCAATAAACGTATACCGATTTTCTCCAGATTATACACAAATTCCTGGTCATTCTCATAGAGCCATGATAAATTCCGGGTAAAAATCAAATCCGGGTAAGATTCGGCTTCTAATCTTTTGTACATCATTATATTTAGAAGCCGAATATTACCAGGATTTGATTCTTACCCAAAATTTATCATGGTTCTATGAGAATGACCAAGAATTTGTGGTTGTTTAGTTCCGAATAATGAGCATTTCCGAACGATAGTGGAATGATAATCTGGAGAAAATCGGTATACGTTTTTAGAAAATTTTTTATAAGGCAAGCTTATTTTGCAAACGATTAATTTACAAACAAGTTCACTTCGTAGACAGTATATTTCATTTGGCATGTTTTTTTTTATAATTGCTTTAACCTTAACTCTAGTTTTAAACCTAACCCTTGTCGGTGAAATGGGCTGTCTGTCTACGAAATGAAATCTGTAAATTAATCGTCTGTAAAATAAGCTTGTTTTGAAGTAAGTTCGATGTCTTTGAAGTGTTCGTCGTCGGTGAGTTGATCGGAACCAATTCAAATACTGGTACAGGATTTCAAATAAATGACATTTTGACTCAAAATAGGGCGCATGCGCGTTTCAAAATAACGCGCAGGGGTCTAAAATAGCGCGCAGGGGGGCGTTATTACGCGCGCAAATACGGTATTCGCGTTGATCGCTATGTACAAAATGTACATGGCGTCAATGTACAAAATGTACACGTCCTATGTACAAAATGTACACATCCTATGTACAAAATGTACATGGTTTCTATGTACAAAACGTACATGGTTTCTATGTACAAAACGTACATAGCTTCTAAACCTAATATGCATATGATCTACTATGTGCGAAAAAATTCGTTCTAAGCCACGGTTTACCCTTTTACAACGTACGACATAAATGAACGTTGCGCAACGTAATACATTTCTTTAATAAATTTGATGCTTTCATATGTGGCACACTCTTTCTTGCGACAAGATGTCAATTTACAACAAACAATTTGTTAAGCAGCCAGAAAAGATTGGTAAAGAAATGTGTAATCTGTATAATGAAGAAATTTTGAAAGGCCAATGTTCCGATTCAGTTCTTGGCACATTAGAACAATTTCTAGTAAACAAAAATCAAAATCCAGATTATATTATAAATTTTTGCTTAAATTATCATGTCAATCCTATACTTCAAAAAGTTCTCGCAGATTGTTATTATTTTGGTAAATGGGTCGAAAAGGATGAACACAAAGCATTCGCTTATTGTCAAAAATCTGCAGAAATGGGATATTCTGATGCAATAAATGACCTTGGATATTTCTATGAAAACGGAATAGGAGTTGAAAAAGATGAACATAAGGCATTCGTTAATTATCAAAAATCTGCTGAAATGGGAAATTTTACTGCAATAAATCAAATTGGATACTGCTATCTACATGGAATAGGAGTGGACAAAAGGCATTCGTTAATTATCAAAAAATTGCTAAGATCGGGAATGCCGATGCAATAAATCAAATTGGATATTGCTATCAACATGGAATATGAATTGAAAAAGATGAATAAAGGCATTCGTTAATTATCAAAAATCTGCCGAAATGGGAATTTCTAATGCAATAAATAATCTTGCAGATTGCTATCGAAATGGAAAAGGATGAACAAAAGGCATTCGTTAATTATCAAAAATCTGCAGAAATGGGAAATTCTAGTGCAATAAATAGCCTTGGATATTGCTATCGACATGGAATAGGAGTTGAAAAGGATGAATATAAGGCATTCGTTAATTATCAAAAATCTGCAGAGATGGGAAATGCTTCTGCAATATATAATCTCGCACGTTGTTATAACGAAGGAATAGGGGTTGAAATGGATATGCATAAGACATTCATTAATTATCAAAAATCTGAAGATTCGTTTGCAATATATCACGTTGGGCATTGCTATATGTATGGAATTGGGATTGAAACAGATGAACAAAAAGCATTCATTAATTATCAAAAATCAGCCGAGATGGGAAATACTAACGGAATGTCTGCACTTGGTTATTGCTACAGAAATGGAATTGGAGTTTCGAGAGATTTACAGAAGGCTGACTATTGGTATAATCGGTTTATTTGATTTATACTATAATTAAAAATTTTTAACATGCATTTGTTCTAATAATAATTAGGGAAAAAAATAAGATGTTGGGTAATTTTAAAGTTATTTAATTTATTTTAGATATACGTAGTATGATTTAATTGCTAATGTTTTCTTTTATAGTCAAATCTGAATGGATAAAAGAAAATTCTAACATTGATGATGGTGTTAAAAAATTGTTGGTTGAAGGAAAATATCTGTTATCATGGATTTCATATAAAGAGTTTATGAATATTAGAAACATAGGGCAAGGTGGATTTGCAACAGTATTTTGTGCTAGATGGCAAGATAAAGAACAAAAATTCTTGGAGAAGTGTTGCGCTCAAATTGATCAATGGATCAAAATTTTATAACGAGGAATTTATTAAAGAGGTGATTTTTATTTATATGCTCAATATTTTTCTTTAATAATTTTTAAATATTAAGCTCTATATTTTTTATTTAAACATTAAAGTTAAAGGCGTATTGTGATATTAGTTCTAAACATCTATCATTTTTAAAATGTTATGGAATATCAAAAGATCATTCAGGAGATTATATACTTGTTCTGGATTATGCAAAAATGGGCTCATTGCGTCAAAACCTTAACTCTATATCACAAATTAAGTGGAAGGATAAATTAATATTATTGCATTGTATTATTTCTGATCTTCAAATAATTCATTCTCAAGAACTTATTCATCGAGATTTGCATAGTGGTAATATTCTACAAGATCATTTACATAGCGCTTATATTTCAGATTTGGGACTTTCCATATCAGCAAATATAGCATTAAATGCAGAGAGACGTGAAATTTGTGGAATTTTTCCGTATATAGCACCAGAAGCTTTAGATAGAGGTTATTATTCCAAAGCATCAGATATTTATTCATTTGGCATAATTACGTGAGAAATATTATATGGAAAGCCTGTATCTTATAATCGAGAATTTGGAGCACAACTTCAAATCGAAATATGCAATACGACTTACGGCCAACTATTATTCAGAATACTCCACAATGTTACATAAATCTGATGAAGAAATGTTGGGAAAAAGATCCAATAAACCGTCCATCAGCAATAAAAATCTTTGAAATTCTTGCCGAATGGATGAATGATGAAAATATTTTATTAGAACTGACTAAATCGGATGAAGTAATAAAAAATAATAAAAGTACACATATACAGACTGATGATATTTATAAAAGTAAATTTATTAGCTATACTACATTGCTTTATCAAGGTATCTATATTTATTATTTTGCATTAATAAAATTCATTCTTTAATATTAAATATAATTATTTATCAGATAGTGAATTGAATGAGTTAAATATGGATTGTTGAATATTAATTAATAATATAAAATATACTGTAATTGGAATAAGTGTATAATGTGAATTTCGTTAGTTTTAGACTTGGCTATTGGATATTTCTTGGTGGACGTTTGGCTGAAAAAATATATATGCCACGTTTTATTTGCCTAAAACTATTGTTTTTTTAAAAAAAAATTTGCTATATAACTTCTTAAAATTGTAGATTCTTAATAAATTAAATTGTCAACAATTTCATTTTTAATAAATGTCAAATTTCACACAGCAATACGTACTAAAGTGTTGTTTGAAATGTCACTCAATCTGAATAATTAAAATACCCCTTACAACTTATGGGATAACAAGAATGATGATAATAACCGTGTATATAATAAAATAAATGAGTATATACCTTTTCTAGTACATACAAAAAAGGTATCTGTTGGATATCTGATATGGTACTGAAAATTGACCATACATGGATAAATTTTTTCTAGCAGTGTCGCGTAGTTTTGAAGACCCTTTATACCTAGTAAAAGGTATACAAATTGATGTCGAAGGGTTTAGTGAATTTAGAAGTAACAAAGATGAACGAAAGTATGAATTGATCGATTCACGTGACCACGTGATCGATCGGAGTCGTAGGTAAATCGAGATGTGGGGCGGCACATGTAAGATCGTGTACGATAGGTACCTTGATCGACGAGTGCATGAATATGACGATTAGTTGGGCAATGAAAAGTCAAATTAATTAATTAATAACAAAGAAATAGTTAAAATGTAATACAAGATATGTAATTGTTGAATCGCATAAATAGCAAATATGTAAATAAAGAATTCGATAGTCTTTCGACTGGGAAAAATTGAGTAAGAAACGAATTATTAAAGTGAATACTTGCGTATAGAGTGTGGTGAGCGTCATTGTCAAAGAAGGTGTGTCTCTAAGTGCCGAGCGAGACCTATAACATAATAAACCGTCTGAGTAAGATAGTAGTCATTTCAGCGATTACCTAACTCTTTGACAGAGAAGAACTTGGGTAAGCTTAGAGGTGCAGACATTTTTGTGGCAGTGCTACCTCAATTACATTATGGCTATATTACTACCGTCGCAACAAGTTGTAGCACAATATTTGTATTGTCGTGGGTTGTAATATATGATGTAGATCATAATACCCATGTAGGTTGTAATAAATATTGTAGGTTACAATATTTGTTATAGGTCACATTACTTGTTGTATTTATATATATTGTTTCAGTTTCTGCATGAGCTTTATAATTAAGTGTAGATTTTGTAAGCTTTGCAAAATGATCTTTGCTTCAAAAGATATATTGTAGTTCAAATCATAATAAAATGTAAATTAATAAAACATAAACCAAAATATATACAAGCTTTGTATAATAGCCAGGAGAATTAAAATGACTGATTTTATATAGTATAATTGCTTAAAGTGAATCAATATATTAAAATTACTGAAACTGCCTAAGTGAAGGGATAAATGGAATTTAATAATCCCAATATTAAGTTGTGCCTCTATAATAACTAAGAAACTATTTGAATTACAATATTAAGCATTGATTTATTTTAAAATATAAAGTTTTGATACATAAAACTAATATGAATGATTAATAGTTAAAATTTGCATCCAAATCGATTCAATTTGGTTTTACTTGATTTTAGTAGTGGTTCCAAATATTATCAAAAGTAGAGCGAATTAAGCTATATTTGTAAACCAAAAATATTTTAAAAAGTCATATAATAAAATAATTATACATGTTTATATGTATGTACCATAATACTAATCTTTTATAAATTCTTTGGCCAAAAATTGATTTACTAAATTTTCAGGTAAGTAATCCATTAGCATTATCTACACCATTTACTTCTTGTTCATTCTCAAAGTAATATTGCGATAAATCAATTATTTTACCAATAAGTAAAGTATCTTGTATAGATTCGATATCTTCAGATAATTCTTCTAAATTAGACAAATTAGTCTCATCATTTGAAGCCATTATCTCACCAATTGCTGAAAGGTTGACAGCTTCACGTAATTCAGCCTCTGTAAGTCCTTCTTCATAGCTATTTAATTCAGATTTTATGTTAGTCATATAATATGATCTAACTTTGACAATATCTTCCAATTTTTCACTACATAATCTTGTTTGTTTGTCACTAATAATCTACTTTAAAATAGAAAAATTTCTTTCACAACTTGCTTGTGAGGAGAAATTGAAAATAGTTGACAAGCCAATTCTGCTAAATGTTTAGGTATAGATTTAATAGACCCCACCACAAAATTGGTGTATCTATTCCCGGAACATATAGCAAATCATATAGAGATAATTTAGCATCAAAACGTCAAAGTTGGGTAATTAATTCCCTACTTTCTTGTTCGCTATGGTGTAGACTAAGCCAAAAAGTTGTATCAAATAATGCTGCTTCTCTAAATCCACTATTTTTAAGTCCAAAACCTATTTTAAAAAATAAATAAATTAGACTAAATTATTTATAATTAGGTAATAGAAAAAAAATCTAATAAATAGTTATTAATTAAATACCATAATAATGAGGGTGAATAAAATATGATAAAAGGTAAATCGGATGTTGAAATTCTCTAAATCATTTATTAAATATATTAATTGCTGCTTGCTTGAATAGATTATTAGTTGGGATTCAATAAATCATTACTGCAATTTTAATCAAATAGTTAAAGCAGTTAGCCAGATTAGCTGTATTTACTTCAAATATCCTTTATTGGTGTCCAAATAGATCTAATTTGCCGACACATAGTAAAAAATTCACCATTATTTAGTAAAGTAAAAATTTCAATATTGGAGATAATTTCTCAATGCTTGCTAATATCTATAAAAAAAAATATTTATATTAATAAGTAATTTTTATAAAATTGTTACCCAATCAAATACAGGTCATATACGCAAAATAGAATCTGTAATAAAAAATAGTGAAGTCCAACGTGTCTTGCACCACAAGTGAAGCCCTTCTAGTTGAATTTTTATTTTACTCAGGCCTTGTCATAGGTATAAATTTCCATGATAAGATTCTTTAAAAAATGATACAACTTTATTGCACTTATTAATTAAACTTTTAATATCATTATTTTTAACCAAATCAGATACAATTAAGTTGATTGCATGTGCTGCACATCATATATGAGAATAAGTTTCTTGAATTTTTTGACGTGCATATTTACAATTTGATGCAGCATCCGTAACTATAGCTGCAAATTTATTACTTCCAATATTCTCAATCAAATTAGAGATTTCCTTAGTTAAAAATTCACCCATATGTTTTTCAGATGAATAATTTCGCAATGCAATTAAATACTCTTGCAGTTCATTGTTGTTACAATATAATTGTAAAGTGAATCCATTTGTGGTGATGTCCAGCCATCTAATACTTAAAAAAAGTTTAATATTAAAAATATATTTTAAAATATTTTTAAAAGCAATTATGTATTAAAACCCTGTGCCCTTAAAAAATTATTGCCATTGTCTTAAGCCTTTTAATATTTTGTATTTACAAACTTTTACAAATCGATTAAGTAATTAATTTAAAGACTTGGCTTTATTTTTATACTTAAATAATAATAATGTTATATAAATACTCAAAGTAAGACTGTCACAATTCTCAAGTTCATCATAAATTGCATTAGTACACGTGCAGTTTTAGTATCCAAAAGATGTCCAGAAAGTGTTGTTCATGATGGTGAAGTATATTTAGGATTTAACCTTTTAAGAAAATCCCTCATAAAAGGATTTTCAATAACCTCAAATGGGATTCCCATTATAATCCATGCTTTAGTTAAAGATTGATCAAGGCAATTACTTGTTTCATAGAGAAGAGGATCATTTTGCATATTTTGCAAAGGCATGGAAATATCCATTGAAGCTGGAGCTAACTTACGGGTATATTTATTAACTTCCTCAACTAATTTTTTTCGCCAATATGTACTAATCTCTTCAGGACAAAATATGCAATGGTTAGCTAAATGAGATTTCATACTCTGAGGTTTTTCACGCTTCCAGCTGCTATTGCAATAATAGCATGTTGCTTTGTAATAGCTATTGCCACTATTTTCACTCTGAATATAATATGACCAAATTTCATCAAAATTCAGACTGCTTGTTTTTGTTTTTTGGTTAAAGAGCTTGAAGTAGAACTACTATTATCCGAAGTATTTGATCTTTTATGAGTTAAACTTGCTATCGTTAAAGGATAAAAAATTATTTTTTTTGATTTGTGTTGTGACTAATTTTATATTTAAAAAAATATATACTATATAGCATTACAGCATTATAATATATTCAATAAAATGCTATGTAATTCTATTGCAGCATTATAATATTGCAATAAATGTGCTATATTATATTATAGCATTATAATATATTCAATAAAATGCTATGTAATTACATTGCACCATTATAATATTGCAATAAAATGTGCTATATTGTATTACAGCATTATAATATATTCAATAAAATGCTATGTAATTACATTGCATCATTATAGTATTGCAATGAAATATGCTATATTGTATTACAGCATTATAAAAGTATTCATTTTAGATTACTACTCATATCATGACCTATATCATTATTTAATACTTACAACTTCTATTACAACTTGCAACATGCTACTTATATTATGACTTACGTCAATACTACAAAAGTTGCAACTTCGTTACCTCAAAATGTCTGCACTTCTAGGTAAGCTAAGTACTCTACAATGATAATAACATAAAGAAGTAGTTGGAAAACTCAGAAAATGATAAGAAAATATTAATTAAGAATATTAAATAACAAAATACCAATCAATAAGAAAATTAAATAAGAAACATCAAAAAGAACATTAAATAAAAAACACCAATCAATAAGAATAATAAATAAGAAAATATTAAATAAAGAATATTAATAAATAAGTAACTTAAATAAGAAAATTAATACATAAGGAAATGATCGGCCATGTCAACCCAATAATTTACTAAATCAGATTATCATAATAATGAAAACATAGAAGACATTTCATTTGAATTTGAAATACATGCTGAGTTGAAGAAATGTAATGAGAATAAAAAAAAGAAGGTAGTTGGTTTATATGTTACTGATAAAGCAAGAATATAGGTGAATCAACTAATTAAGGTGTCAGCAAGTTGAACTGATCTAGAAACTAATATGGTAAAGACTGCAAAAATGAAATTCTATATAAATAAGAAAGTTTTGAGGTTAATGAGAACTAAACAGAAAGAAAATGAATTAGTGGTTGGATATTCCAACAGATTTGAATCACATGCTTATATGAGTAAAAATAAGATACGTATATGATTAAAATAAACAAAAATAGTATATAGCAGGATTGAAAAAGGAGTATTGGTCAAGAGTAGAAGAACATTTTCTAGCTAATTATAGTAAAACCTCAAGTTTAGCTATTATGATTGAAAGATATGATAAAGACAATAAGTTTGATTTATAAACAGTAAATAAGATATTAGTAAAAGAAAGTAATAAAAACATCAAAGTCAATGTCAATAAACTTACAAAGGCAATAAAGGCTTTAAAAAATTTCTGGGATAAAAAGAAACCTAATAATGATATTTAAGAAATTAAAGATGCTATTAGAGAGATGGTAAAAACATAGAGACACAGTGTTTTACATATCAGAAGTACAGTCACATATTATGTGACTGTCTAGACAAAGTTTTAAAAGATCATTCTATTTTATTTTTCTCCATGACTTAATGCAAAATATGATTTTAATCTACTAAATTTGCAGATTATTCTTTATATCTATCCATCATGCAACATACTATTATATGGTTCAAAATACAGATTAACCCATGACTATAACTAGTTATTCTTTTTAGTTCAGAGTAGTAAGATTCAATGGTATATGTTGAAGTTATTTGGAAAAGAAGAGAGAGTGTTGACAGGCCCAAAGAGCCTATTTGTTTGTATTTGTTGTATAATTCTGTAAAATATATTTTTTGATAGCAGGAACTTGGCATTTATCTATTGCCTTCTTGATAAGCTTATCGCACCTGATACTTGTTACTTTATCCATTGTGTGAATTATTTTCATTTGACTTTTTTTTTATAAATTCTACTTATCCAAGTATGAACAACATGGACAGTGCAAAAAACACTTTGCATTTCTGTTTACCTTTTCATAACCCGGAAAAAGCTATAAAAATGCTATTAGACTCAATGCTACTTTGGTCAGCAAGAAAGTAATAGAGTTTTCAAGAATGTTTGAATCTCTGAATTATTTGCAAGGCTTTTGCAACTATCTCACTATTTTTATTACTTACAAAAAAGTGGGCTCCAATATTCTAAAATCTATGGTTATCGCAAATATACAACATGAACAATCTCCAATCATACTTGTTTGTTTTATGTGTAGAGTTAATCAAAGTTAACTACCCAAAATGCCAAAGCTTTTCGAGCTGATCTAGATGTACAAAAACAAAATCTTGGGATGATCAATGTAAAATATTATAATGCTCTACTTGATATTCTTCTTTTTTTAAAAAAAGAATAAATTTGCTAATATCTACCACTAAATTTGCATTACTTTTAAAATACAAATTATACAGCTCAAAAACCTTATTTTTAATATTATAAACTTCTATTTATCTCAATTCTTTTATACTGGCACCAAGATTTAATTTATTAGATGCATATTCTTTTACAGCACTAATAATAGCTGGGGGTGAATAATTTTTAATCACTTCATTCTCTATCAAGTTATGAACAAGTTGAGAATGGTTTAACTTTTCGCTTTCTTCAATAGGATACTTATAGTCAGGGCTATCATGATATCACTCAATATACACTTTCTGCTCTATGATAAAATGCCAAACCTTAATTTTTGCATAACATAAACCTGCTGGGTAAACTTTTGACTTTTGCCATTTTTTGCTTGATACTTCTTCCTTACGAGTACTTGATAAATTGTGTTTAGTAAAATGACACACATAAGTTGTTTACGAATTTTCATTGTTATGATTTTTAGAATTGTACCTTGTTCAAACATTTGTGACAAGGGGCTACTATTCATTGTCAAAATCTTGCATTAGGACTATAAATGGTTTACCAACATTAAAAAGAAGTATTTGCCTTTGATCAGGGGTAAGTTGTGATGATGTAAATAATTCTGCCTCATCACTTATAGAAGTGTAATATGTAGCCTACATATATGCATCTTTGTGAGTTCAAAAAATTTTCAAAATTACAAGAACATATCTCACATAACTTACTACTTCTGCACTATTAACATCCATATAAGTTCAAAAAAAAAAAATCATCAAAAGAAAAAAAATCAGTTATTATGAAAAAAAAGATCATTTATCATGAAAAAAAAAATCATTTATCATGTAAAGAAAAAGATCATTTATCATAAAAAAAAATAAGAAGGGCATCAACCTTTACTAAAAAATCATAAATTGTAAACAGTTTTATCTAACGCTAGATTTATATAATGGTAAAGCAGTATTACTAATCAAAAATCGTAAATGTAGGGATGTTAACTAGTTAAAAACTAACTATATCGGTTACAAACTGGCAGTTAACTACATAAACCAGTTTAACTAGTTACATGAAACTAGTTATAAAATTTACATAACTAGTTATTAAAAACTAGTTAAATTTAAGTTAAATTAAATAGTTAAATTATCGTTAAGAATTTTGAACAGCTTAAATTAAACATATATATATATAGTTATAATTATCACTATGTAAGTTTGTTTAAAAAGAAAATCATAATACTTAGCTTTGTATTATACCAATATAGTCAAAAATATTTCTAAGCTAATAAATACTAAATTGTATTAAAATAATATTATTATAAAAATTGGCGTTAGCAGGTATAATTTTTATAAAATAAAAATATATATTAGTAAATTAAAATTGCACTTTCCAAATTAACAGTACATAATAACTAAATTAAGCTAAATCTGCTATACGTACAAAAAGCAATTGGATAATTATTTATTTGCTATTTTCTGCTATATGTTTATTGTTATTATTATATTTAATTATCTTTTATGTGTTTAATTAAACCTGCTGCATACCAAGTTTTAAGACAAAGAGCTGCACAAGTCTTTTCTGGATCTATCCGATTCTTAGTTGGGCTAATAGTGAATTTTGCAATACTAAACATTTGTTCACTTGCAACACTAGTTGCCTGAACAACTAAGTAATCACGTGCCATACAGGCAAGTGAAGCCCAGTGAGAATCTAATGATTTGGCTTTCCAATATGTAAGAATATCAACTTCTTCAATAGGTTGATTTAGATATTCTTTAAGAGGATTATCATTATCTACAAACATATCATATGATCTTTTCCGAAAGTAATCTCGTGAAGATCCAGATTTAGGAGCTTCTTCTACAGATTTATTATTTTTACCTGCATAATATATTTTATAAGTATTATGTATTGTTTGTCTTGCTTTAATTATATCTTCACGCTCAAATGGCATTAGCTTATTATTCGGATCAAGAATTGCTGTTTCATAAAAGGTTGTATTGAGCTCATCCCAATATTTATCCAATTTTTGTTTCATTTCTCATGCAACTAGTTTTAGTGTGTTATTTTTATTTTGAACTTCGTATATTGTATTTATAATAACAGGAAATACTATACGAAGATCTCCAAGTGTTGGATAGCTTGATGATGAGAGAAGATTTGTAGCATGGTAAATTAGTTCAAGTAATTCATTAAGAGACTAATAAAATTGGTAAAATAATTTATTTATGTTATTATTATTATTATTATTATTATACTTACATCAAGCTCTTTCCAATCATTGTCATTTGGATATAAATTTTTTAATTGAGGGTTTGATGCAACTAGAATATCTGTAATATCCTGAATCTTGCGCAATTTTTCTATCATTATAAAGGTAGAGTTCCAATGAGTACTAATATCAGTTTCTGGTACTAAAACAGGACGTTTTCATAATAAAAAATTTTTTTAACTCTTCAAATATAATTTGAGATGAGCT